GAGTCGATGTGGAAGCTCGTGGAGAACTCTCGGCGACGGATTGGGGATCTGGGTTTCGCCAGACGCCCAGGGTCGTTTCTCGGCGCGTTCAGGCCGACGTGGAACCCCTCGCGATCCCCAGCCGCCCAAGGAGCGCCATTGGCGCCTGAAGGGTTTCCTGCAGGCGGCGGGACATGGTGTCCAATTGTCGTGCGACGCAGTGCTGGGCGCTCCTTCAAATCGCAAGCTCGGTCGATTCGCACAATTGGCGTCGCGTCGCGAAGATGTCGGCCTCATCGCGATCACGTGGGCACGAGGGCAGGTAAATCAAAATCTACAGGCCGACCAGTGAAAGATAATAATTTCTGGCCCCTAGCAATGGGAAGTTGGAATGTTATTCCGTAGCCAAGAAAAACGGTCGACTGCGGATTTTTTCGACGCAAGGATCCTCGACGCGTATTACAAGACACCTCCGAGCACCCAGTTGCCTACCTCAAGCGCGTTCTCATCTGTGGAGACTTCGGAGAGGCCCTTGTACATCGCGTCTGGGGATCTAGACTGCGCCTTTAACCGACTGGGTTTGCCGCCGGGAATGGGGCAGTATTTCTCGTTCCCGGTGATTGACTCCACGCTCGTGAAAGTCTTCTACTTGGACAGAGTTGTCGCCCCCCTGGGCACGCCCCTCTTGCCGCGCCCCACCATTCCCCCGATGGGTTGGCCCTGGACCACGCACCTGCGCCAAGGGGTTCTCCGAAACAGTATCGCGGAAGCGGGGCTCTCCGGGGACTTCCTGATCGAGGGCGGCAGAGCAGGCGAGTTTTTTTCGGGCCCGCAGCAGGTGGGCAGCGCCGCGCATGTTGACAATGTCTTCGCGGTTGGCCTCGACCGTGATAAGACGACGACTGCTATCGATTATTATTGTTCTAAGGCACAAGGGTGTGGTGGTCCATGAACTGGAGAAGGGGCCCACTGACTGCGCTTTCGTGGGCATGGAAATGTGCGAGGGCACGCGTCTGAGAATCAAAAGGCGGGTCTGGGGGTTGAGGAGGTGATCTGTCGTCGGTGTTGCAGCGGGGCTATGTTGAAGGTCCTTGTGGGCCATATTACTTGGGGGTGTCTTCTCAAGCGGGAAGGCCTGGTGGCCCTGGATGCCTGTTACGCCTTTATCGGTGCCAACCCGATTCAGGCGGTGGACACCTGGCTTTCTGTGCTACGTGACCTGTGGCAGGCGCGAAGTTGCCTGCCCCTTCTGCGCTGTAATCTCGCCGCGAAGTGGCATCCAGTGGTCGCCTGCTCGGACGCCTGCTCCTGCGGAGTCGCGGTCTGCGCCCGCTCGCTGAAGCCGGAGGTCGCGGGGCAAATTGGCCGTCACAGTGAACGCTGGCGATGCAAGGTCGAAGGCGGCGCGCAGGCTCGGGATCGCGCCCTCGGTGCCGACGCCCTTGCTACTTCGTCTTTTCCGCTTTCCTTGTCGCCCACCTGTCTATCAGCGGGTGGTGGGGGTCCTCGTGCAGGCCTCCGTGGTTCCGACAGTGGGCGCGCAGTTGCCTCGGCTATATTCGATGAGTTTCCTAAATCTATCCTGGACAAGGGGCAGTGGAACGTCGTGCTCGCGTCTAAGGTCGTCGTCTAAGGTCTCAGGGTCTCACGCGGCGGCCTGCGGCGCCCGGCTTTGGCGGCACGCGCGGCGGCGGCGAGCCTGGCGCGCGCTGCTCGCCCGCCGAGCGGCCGCCTGACCCTCCTGAAGCACATGGCGGTCTCGGCGGACACGGAGGTACGTTGCCTACCGCGCGTTGCTGCGGGGTTTCGTGGACTATTGCACCCGCTCGAACCTCGACTGGTCCACGATGGAGGGCCTGGACCTGGCTGTGGCGCCGCGCATGGACAGGCTGCACCTGGACGGGCACCTTCCCGACAAGGGCAGCAAGCTGCTGGCCGCCCTGGCCCACTTTGCGCCCGAGCTCCACATGTCTCTCAAGGCCCGATTGCCAAGGTCATCGAGGGCACGTTCGTCTTGGAAGAAGAGCGCCCCTGGCTCGCAGCGACCCCCGCCGCCGAAGGTGGCCGCGCTGACAATCGCGGACGCGCTGTGCTCCATGGGGCAGCCGCGCATTGCGATCTGGATAGCCCTGGCGTTCGTCGCGCACCTGCGGCCGCAGGATGCCTTCAAGCTGCGGCCCGAGCACCTGATCAGGCCCCTCGCCTTCCGCGGGCCCTCAGCACGTCCACTTGGGGGCGCTGATCAACGACTCGGACGGCGAGGCCGGCAAGACAGGCGAGCGGGGCGGCTCCGCGATGGCGGACCTAGACCACTGGCTCCCGGAGGCCCTGGAAGCCCTCAAGGGCTTGCTCGGGGCAGCCCTGCCTGTGGGACTTCACGCCGGCGGGGCTCCGCAAGCTCTTCAATCAGTGCGCCGGGCCCCTAAATCTGCAGCCCCTCAGGCCTCACTTGCACTGCCTGAGGCGCGGCAGGGCGTCCGACGACCTGACCGCGAAGAGACGAACCTTGGCAGAGGTCGAGCGACGGGGCCAGTGGCGAGACCAGCGCAGCCTGCGGCGGCACGGCAAAGAGACGCCTTTGATGGAGATGGCCAAGATGCCGCCCGCCGTCTACTCGTTCGGTCAGCTGGCGCGGGACACTGTCAGCTTGGCCCTGCAGTCGCAGCTCCGCGACCGCCGCCTGTGGCCGAAGATCCACTTGGAGATCAGGGCTCGGCCGGTGGCAGCGGAGGCAAACGGGGGCATTGTCCGCGTCGGAGAGGCCCCATGCCCGCGACGGCGGCGAAAGCTATGAGCTGTACAGATGAGGAAGCTGCTGCTTACCTACACCGTCTCTTTCAGCAGGGGCGCCGTCGAGCTAGCAATTTCAGTAGGTGTGTCTTCTTGGAGCTTTTCTCGGGCAGCAGCCGCGTGTCTGACGCGATCAAGAACCTAGGCTAATTGGCTTTCTCTCTGGCCATCCTCAGAGGCTCTTCGGAAGACGTCACCCGTCCTTGTGTGCTCAGAGTTTTGGAAGGTTGGATCCGCCCCCAGGCTGTCATTGGTATCTGGATGGGGACTCCGTGTGCGACGTTTAGCCGTGCTTTGAGGAAGCCTCTCAGATCGCTGGAGTGTCCTTGGGGGTTACCGAATCTCTCAGAACCCGAACGCGCTCGGTTGGCATCGGGCAGTGCTACTTTCAAAGCCAGCATGAGGATCGTGCAGGTCGCCATTGCTGTAGACGGCCCAGTCTTGCTCGAGAGCCTTCGCGCCTCGCAGATTTGGTCGACGCCGCCTGTCGTGCAACTTGCCGGGCATGACAGTTACCGACTTTATAAAGTTGATTTCTGTCAATACGGTACACCGTGGAAAAAAGGCGACATCGACTGCTTCTTGGAATGCTCCGCATTTGCCGTCTATCACTAGGCTTTGCCACACGTGCCGCAACATCTGCACGCGCTCGGGACGGCCTCACATTGTCTTGTCGGGCAATGCCCTGGGAACGAATAGGAAATGAACGCAAGTAGCTACCCCATATCCCCGTAGGTTCGCCTTGGCTGCCGCCTCCGCCCTTGTTAGTATAGCAGAGTCTCTTCGGACCGCTAGCGCAGTCGCTGGCCCCGCAAACTCTGCTGGGCTCGCCGCTTCGCCTGCCTTCACAAAAAGATGCTGGCTGGCCGCGGGGGGTTCGAGGGTAGAGTTTTTCCTCCTCCTCCTCCTCCTCCTTTTCCTCCTCCTCCTCCTCCTCCTCCTCCTCCTCCTGATCCTCCTCCTCCTCCTCCTCCTCCTCCTCCTCCTTTTCCTCCTCCTTCCTCCTCCTCCTCCTCCTCCTCCTCCTCCTCCTCCACAATTACCCCATATGAATTCTAGTTTCCCTTTTCCCCTGATGACGGCTTGAAGGTATCCCCCCCCCCCCCGCGTACTGTTTTTTTACACACAGGATTCCCCGGAGTTGGGTTTTCGCCTGCAGTGTTTTCAAAAATGCTGCTTTCTCCGAGGCGCCGGCATCATTTTCGGGCCCCGCTCGTTCCGAATCGCGCTCCCGCTGCAGCGTTGGCCTCATTTCCGCGCCTCCGCTCGTTCCGACTCGTGCTCCCGCTGCAGCGTTGGCGTCATTTCCCGTGCCATGCCACGGCATGCGATGCCAGGTTGATACTACGCTTTGCGGTGCTCTTCTAAGCCATGCCAAGCCGCGCTCTACAATGAATCGCGTACCCTTTCGGGATCATTGCCCTGCTCGACATCCGAGTGTGCGAGTAGAGAGGGGCTCTACGCCATTGTAAGGGATGGGAGGGAACGGTAGGATGCCAGATATGACGCGAGCGCACCTAGCTTGCCCTCCTCCCCCTCCTCCTCCTCCCCTTTTTCCTCCTCCGCCTGCTTCTCCGGACTTTCAAGAGGGCCGGGGGGGCGTCTGAGAACAGAAACCTTCTGAGATGAGAGGCCCTCCCGCCTTCCAGGGGGCCGTATTGGGTTTGGTCGTCGCGCCATGGGGGGCGATGAAGTCAGGGAAGGGGGGAAATCACACACAGACTCAAAGAATCATCGGTTCGGGGGTGCAAGGGGGCACCCTGCAAAATGGCAGCGGGCGTAAACCATCCAAACCTCTTCCATCCTCCTCCTCCTCCTCCTGTTCCTCCTCCCTTTTCTTCCTCTTCGCCCTCCTCCTCCTCCTCCTCCTCCTCCTCCTCCTCCCTCCTCCTCCTCCTTCTCCTCCTTTCCTCCTCCTCCTCCTCCTCCTCCTCCTCCTCCTCCTCCTCCTCCTCCTCCTCCTCCTCCTCCTCCTCCTCCTCCTCCTCCTCCTCCTCCTCCTAAAACCGTTTTGGGCCCTGACCGCTAGATCCGAGAGCGGGGGCCTTGCCTGTGCGAACTTCAAAACGGCACGCTGCACAGGCGAGCCAGATTCAGTTGCAAGCATCCCCGCCTTCCTGTCGTCAGGATGGCCCCAGCCACGCCGCCATGGCAACGCCGCGCCAACGAGCGCAACGACGCATGGTATGCAGGCTGGAGTTACACGGGGAACGACAAGGGCAACAAAGGCTATGGAAAAAGGAGCTGGCGGCCGTTCAGGCCAGGGCAACCAGCAGCTGACCTTCTGGAAGTGCGGGCACTGTCTCTGTGGAAAGAACTTGGGGAGCTACTGGTTCTGCAAGCACTGCAAAGCGCCGAGGCCCGAGCCCAGTGATCCCGAGCTCGACCGTTTGGGAGCTTGGGCGAACGGGCCGCCAGCCCTGCAGCCAGGACCCCAGCCGATCCCGACTGGGGAGGCGCTCAGCGAGGAGGAGCTCGAGCGCATGGTGTCCTTGGCCAATCGCTTTGGTGATGTGGCCGCAGCCAGCCAGTACAAGGTCGCGCTGGAGCGGCTCCGCGCGGCCAACAAAGTGCCAGAGGAGAAGCCGCTCCAGCAGAGGGCCACCGCAGCCCATCAGCGAGCTCAGTTCCTCGAGAAGAAGCTCAACGGCGAAATCGACAAGTTGGAGAAGTGGAGAGCCTGGTGTCAAGAGAAGGCAGTTGCCCAACAGCTCTCGAGCGAGCTCGAGGAGGCCGACGCGCAGCACAAAGTTTTGGTGGACCAGTTGCACAGCTCAGTGTGCGATACGAAGGTGGTTACTCCTCAGCCTGCTGGGCTTAAGCTTCGCGATATTGTGGACGGCAAGCTGGACGGTCTCGAGTTCGTGGACGCTGGGGAGATCTTCAGCGTGCCTGAGGACGAGTACGTGGTCACAGAAGGCGACAAGCAGATTCTGCGCGACAGAACGAACGAGTTCAAGGCACACATCGCCAGGGTCACCAAGGAAGCCTTCGGCGGTATCATCAGCCAGTTGGACACTATCAAGCAGCAGCACGCGCAGCACATGGAAAGGTTGGGGAGGAAACGACGTAAAGCAGCAGAAGATGAGGACCAAGCTGCAGGTGGAGGAGATGCAGCACAGGGAGCAGCAGCGACGGCAGCTCCAGGGACAGGAGCTCCAGCTTCGGGATCTTCGTGCACGAGCACAGCTGGGGCTGCTGGAGGGGGCGAGAACGTCAGGGAGCGAGCTCGACGCGCAGCGTCCCAGGCACCTCCCCCTGCACCAGAGCAGGCTGCAGCGGCACCCGCATGAGCGCGCAGGGGGGCGGCAACCAGATGGGCCAGCTGTTGGGCCTGAGCATCAGCATCTTCTACCTCATCTGATAGCCCCCCCAGAGGGGCACCTTTTTGCGAGTGCAGATGCGCCTCCTGCGGGGAGTCGGCGTGCGCCAGACCCTGCAGAGGCGCACCAGCTTTTGAATCGGCTGTGCCGTTTTCCGCCCCCCCCCCCGAGCCAGGCTCCGAGCCCCTGGGTGAGTTTCTGCGTCTGGGCAGCCCTGGACTGGAAAGTTTTGAGCTGGTTGTGGAGACGGCCAACGTCACCTCCTGGGGATCGGCTAAACCCTGGCTGCAACGTTCGGGAGCACATATTATCTTGCTGCAAGAGCACAAGTTGGTCCCCGACGACCAAATTGAAGAGGCCTCCAGCTGGGCCCTCGAGCAAGTCTGGAAGTCTCGGTTCGTGGCGGCTGAGGCTGGAGTAGGCTCAGGAGCTTCGGGCGGGGCGGCGATCTTCGTCCGTTCGTTTCTGAGGCTGGCCACAAAATATACAAAGCAAGAGCTGTCGGTTGTTGGGTGCAGATTCCTGGGGGTGAATCGATACTTTGCGGAGAACTTCAAGATTTTGGCCACGATCGGAGCAGTGGCACAGAGCTACCGCAAGCCCCACATCATCGGAGGCGGCTTCAACATGGAGCCAGCTGAGCTACATGAATGTGGCTTGGCAGGCAGTTTCCCCAGTTGCATAGCGCATCCAGAAGTGAAGGGTACTTGTGCAACGACGGCCTCGAGCGCGGTCAGGCTGTTAGACTACATGGCGGTCTCGGGAGGCCTGTCGAAAGGTATCCAGTCCACCAGGGTGATTTTGGAGAGCGATCTGAAGACTCACGCGCCCGTCCAAATTAAGTTCTACCCCGCCCTCGCGGACATTAAGTTCCTCACGTTCCCCAAGCCTCCAGCGATACCCGCGCAGCGCCCTATAGGTCCTTTGCCATGAGCCCCCGTCTTGGGACGACGCCCTGGATTGCGCCACTTAGGGTCTCTCACTGGTTCGCGAAGGAGCCCCGCGCAATAAGATGCAGAGGCACATGAATTTGGCCTACAATATTTGGGCCAACACAGCGGAAAAAGAGTTGATTGCCAGTCGACAGATCGACATCCCGCTGTTAGGTACAGGGGGCAGGTTGCCTAAGTTGATTTGGAGGTCAGCTTTAGAAGTAGACAAAAGGAAAGACGTCAGGCAACCTGCTCTGTTCACGCTGCGCTGGTTGGAGAGCACGTTCCGTTTTTTTACCAGCCTGCTGCACGCCCTGGACGTTTCGGCGGCGACGGAGGCTCCAGCTTCCGAAGTTGGGGCGACGGCATGGTTGCCGCAATCCGATATGCTTTTTGAGAGCCAAGTTCCGCCAGGACCGACACCGACAGTCCCCGCGCCAGCGCGCTCTCGTGTGCTTCACCAGCTTCGTGGTGCACGCGCTTGCCTAGCCGATCCTCCGGCCTGCATAGGCCGACACTTGGAAGAGTTCTCTGAAATTTATGGCTGCATCAAAGGCTTTACCCAGGTTCAGGACATAGATAGGGTCTTCGAGGTCTCGGAGGTTCTTGGGGAGTTAGATCTGGGCTGCAGCATCTTAGATAAGATCTCCGAGGACTTAGGGGCGTACTCTTTGAAGGCTAAGTCGGAGGCTCAGAAGTCTTGGAAGGCCCGGTTATGCGACGGGGTTGACAAAGGGGCGGGGAGAGCTCATGCGTGGACTCGTCTCCCCAAAGCGTGGCAACCCACCACCACCCTCTCGGCCCAAGGGGCTGTGCTGGCGGACCCCAAATCGTCGTTGGCCTCTGAGGCCCAGAAGTTTGGCAAGCTTTGGCAGGCCTCCAAGACGCCAGAGTTGCCCGAACAAGTTGAGTACATTCAGCCCCTCGATTTTGCGCCGCCACCAGAGATGAGGGCAGTGTCGCATCGGTATAAGCTCACGTCCGCGACCTCCGTGGACGGCTTCCACATGCGCCACTTCAGCAGCATCTCTGATCAAGGTTTGCTGGCCTTGATGTCTTTATATGCTGTCATGGAGGCGACCTCCATCCTGCCGAATCAGGCCCGCACGATTGTGGTCCCGCTTTTAGCCAAACCTGCTGGAGGTTGGAGACCGATTGGGTTGTTCAGCAGTTTCTATCGCTTTTGGGGCAAGCTTCGGAGACCCATTGCGGCGTCTTGGGAGGCTTCCAATTGGCGCCCGTACTTGGCGGCGGGGCCCCTCTCGGGAGCTTCGGACGCGGTCTGGAGGCAAGCGGTGAGGTCTGAAAAAACTGTTCGCCCTGGGCCCCATAAGCAGTCCAAGAGTCCCAAGGGAAAGCCCAAGAAAGAAGAAAAGACGGTGGCCTGCACGGTTCTCTGGGACCCCCTGAAGTACTACGAGACTATTGTGTTGTCCATCCTGGGAGATAGATGCGAGCTAGCGTTACCGCAGCAGCTGTACCGTGTAAGCATCGCCGCGTACAAGGGCCCACGCTTCTTGGCGATGGCCAGCATGGTGCATGGCCCTCACGTTGCCTTTTCAGGAGTTATCGCAGGCTGTTCTTTGGCGACCACTTATATTAGAACGCACGCCATTCCCACAGTAGACTGCATCACTTTCCCGCTCCGCACGCCCTTGGACATATATATCGATGATTATGGCATGTCGTCCACAGGTAAGCCCAAGCAAGTAGCACATGATATTATTCACACGGCGGCACAGCTATACGTTGGACTCACTGAAGAGATGTGCGCACCAGCTGCCCAGGACAAAGCGTCGGCCATATGTTCATCCCACAAGGCTGGAGAAGCCATCAGGCAAGCTCTAGGCGAGTACTGTGGAGCCTCTTATGTGGAATCTGCAGCGAACTTGGGCATCGATGATACGGCAGGGAAGAGCAGGAGGAGAAAGGGACGAGAACAGAAGCAGCAGAAGAGAGCAGCAGTTTTCAAGAAGAGAACGAAACGTTTCAAGCGAGTCAAGCAGGTGCTGGGCAAGCACTGCCGAAGTATTTTCACGAGTGGACCTCTAGCAGGCCTGTCCTATGGAGCTGAAGTGCACGGCCAGTCTGATCACGAGTTGGCGACTGCTCGTCGTGCTGTGGGCTTTGTCTTACGGCCGTCTGCAGGCATGAGGTCCCTCACATCTCTGTTGTTGTTGCACGATGACCCGTCGTGGCATGGATCAGTGGCACCAGTGGTGCGCTACGCTAAGGAGGTCTTCTCGAACCAAGTTAGACTCTCGCCTAATACTTTGTCGTTCGGAGTTTCGAGGGAAGCTTGGGAGTCGGCGTACGGGGCCCCCAAAGAAGAGCCCGCTTGGAAGAAGGTCACGGGTCCCCTTTCAGCGCTCCGCCTCAGCCTCCTCAGGATCCAATGGGACATGACGAGTTTCTGCGTCTTGGTCAACGATTTCGGAGAAGACATATTTTTAACGACCTGTTCCCCAGCGCTCATTAAACAGATGTTGCATGATGGAGCTTTGAGACAGCTCGAAAGGGATGCTGGTAGAGTTCATGATGTACCTTGTCGAGTATGGTATGATGTGGTTTCGTCTCAGCTTCGTTCGTCACGGCATACATACTACGAGAAGGGTTGTATCAAGTCGCTGGTGTGCGGAGCGGTGTGGGCCAACGAGCGCGCGCTCGACTTGGGGTACGCTCTGCCATCAGCTCAGTGTCCTTTAGGCTTCGGAGCGCGTGACACGATCTTCCACCGTCTGTGGGAGCGCAGTGCGGCCGACGATGATAGGAGGGATTTGATCGACGATGACGAATTGATCACCCAGGCTAGGAGCATCGATCGGTCGGGCGCTAAGGAAACACTGTTTTTCTCTAAGGGGCTGTTTGAACACCCTGGAGATGTGCTACCACGCCCACGACAGCAAGGTGGTATTATCACTCACACGCCCGAAGGAACAGAAGACGTCGTAGATCCTGGCCAGGTCAAGGGATATATTTTCATGGACGGGTCCTGCACCAGACACCCTATCAAGGAGCTGAGTAGGGCCACTTGGGGCTATGTACAGGTCACCCAGGATGCTCAGGAGACCTGCTCGGTGTGTGGGCCTATATGGGCTCCGCTCCCTGAGACCCCCCAAGCTGGAGAGTTTGCAGCCCTCGCCATGGTTTCACAGAACCTTGCAGGCCCCTTCGGAAGGTTTTTTTCGGATTGCGCGAATGTGGTCAGCACCTTCGCGCTTCCTCCTGAGGCCAGGTTCTCTTATAAGGAAATGTATTCGGGCACCATGTTATTTGCCCATTCGTGTGACCTGTCTGCTGTTAGGAAAGTAAAAGCGCATGTGGCCGACAGTCCTGATTTAATTGCCCAGCAACGCTGGGGGGAATTCGGAAATGATGCTGCCGATCGCGCCGCACGTCAAGGACTGCTCGCCCACCCCGCAGGTTCCAAGGCTGAGCTTGATGAAGTAGACAGGACAGTTAAGGTTTCTCGTGCGGTTTGCAGGCTTGCGGCCCGTTTACTGCCCCAGTGGCCCGCCCTGGATCTCACGGGAGTCCACTTGAACCCCAGAGAGCCTCGCCAGAAGCCCGCGGGCCCTGAAACTTTTGAGCACGAATGGGAATGGCATAGGTCATACTGGAGGTGTGCTGCATGCCTCAAGATACGTCGGCCCAGCCCTGATTTCGTTGTTGGTGAGAGCGACGTGCCCACAAATGGAGGTTGCACGGGGAAGGTGCCAGAGTCGTTGCTCCAGGTGGCCGCCAGAGGCCACATGTTGTTGAGTTTCGATTGCAGCGATCGGTCTCAGCTTTTCATTTGGGTTAGGTGTAAAGCTATATCTACGTTGCCCCCCCTCGCGCTGCTTGCTAAGGTTTGCAGGGCCCCAACGAGGAACAATTTCGAGCGGTGGAAGTATCGAGTGCTCAAGGGACGCCATCCCAAGATCGACGGAGTAGTGATTGAGGCGTCTCCTGAGGACCTACAGGCGTTGGGTGAGGATCCCCAGCAGCACGATACTGTCGTCGACCCGTCGCCCTCGTCGTCGGCCATCGTCGTTGCTGCTGGGGACCACGAAGTCCAGCATACAAGGCATTTTGCCGATCAGGCTCCAGTGGTGGAGCCCCTTCTT